ATAGAAGGCCAATATAAATATTGACCTTAGTAAATATCCTTTAATATTCAATAATAAATGAATAAATATTAAACCAATTAAGATAATTACTTCCAAGACTTATTAAGATTCCAATTCTACAACTAACTCTCTAATTTTTTATTTTTTTAAATATTTCTATACTATTCATCATGTATTATGGTTTTAAGCATTCTAAATGTATTTTTTATCCTAAAACAACTAAGGAGTCGATTTGATGACTCACATTACTTTTTTTATCACTTTTTTTAAATATAATTATAAACACTTTCAAAATGAATTCAAATCATACAATAGTTGTGAATCTTTTTCTATTAAAGATACAAATTAAGAAAGAGCACTCCTAGAGAGAAGTGCTCCTATGAATCCAACTTGAATAAATCCATCATGGTATTGAGAAAGATGAAACCATACATAGAACTTTATTTTTTGTAAAAATCCTCAAAATTTTGATCTTATTCTATTAAACTTCTTCGGCATATTTATCCTTAATTCCTTTATAATTGTAGTCCTAAGAATTTTTGGATTTAGTTGTGAACTTGATCTAATTATTTCTCTTGATTGTATAATTTCTTGGGATAGACTTTAAACTTCATTATTGATTTCTTCTATATGTATAGGAATAGTGCTTCTATAATTCACAATAGAAATATATGGAATTTTTATCCTAAGAGTGATAATAAGCTCATGAATATCTACAATAATTACAAATCTATTCTTACTTTTGCTAAAAGTGGCATCTAAAATTTTTCCTTTCACAAACAATTCAAACAAATTCAAAAAATTAAATTAGATGAGAGTAATCCATAACTACTAATATCAAATAAAAAAATTTATAAAAAAAGATAATTAATTTTTTTTAAGAAAAAAAATACTAAAAAAATAAATTCTTTGTTTAAAGTAAATAATCTAAAACCTTCAAAATACAATAATAAAAGTAAATAACCTACTCACTTTTAAAATAATATATGAATAATAAGTTAGCACTTTTTTCAAATGTATTAAAGACATGAATTTCAAAAAAATAGAATCTCAATACATTCTTATATCACTCAAAAAGACTAAAAAATCATTCAAAGTTAGTAATATATTGAATTAGAATGGCTATTATCAAAGTAAAAAAAGATTATAATATCTTGAAATAAGAATAAGAACTAAAAAGGCATTAGGAAGAATGAAGAAAGCTTTACTCTTGCCTCCATATTAACTATCTAACTAAGAGCTATGTAACAATGTTTTATAGGACCTTTAATATGTCATTGAGAGAATTTGCCTCAAGAAAGCGTTATGCTTTTGGTTGTCATTAATTGTTCAATTAAGTTTGAAGATAAAAAAGCACCAATTTTATATATAAAATTCTTCTTATAGAGAAAATTAAATCAATATATAAGTCATAAGTACCAAAGAACTTCAAAATGTCATAAAAATATTCTAAAACCTTACATATTCTTAAAGAATTGTTTTTCCAAACTTCAACAGCTCATATCTCACAATCAAACACTTCAAATAGACTCAAAATTTACATAAAGTATTAATGTATTTTAAACAACTATCAAAAAAAAATTTAATTAAAAATTTATTATAAATCTTAAAATATTACTAAAATTCTAATAATAGCTTTAAATCCTTATTTATTTGTATATACATTTAATTTTCTTTATATCTTATAAATTAATTATTTAAATACTATAAAAATTATAATGTAACTTTTAACCTAATAACTCACATTTTTAGAAATTTTGAGCTAAAATTTCATCCAAAAACTCAAAATATGGCTCTAATTATTAGAATCAATAAAATGGTTCACTTTTTGCCTTTGAATTACATGTGATGTCTTCAACTTCTTATAGCTTCTTTATACAAACTTTTAATATAACAATTCTTTCATAAAAAATTTAGGTCTTAAAATCATCTTTACAATCACATCTTTTGATTTCTAAAAGCTATTGTACAACTCTTCATGTCCTCAAAAGAATAATAGTATGTTTTAAAAGATCCTTTAACTCCAAATGGCTATAATTTCTTCACACTAATTCCAAACCTTCTAAATTTTGTGCACAAATTATAATTCAAATTCTAAATTTTATAACTTTTATTTTTGATTCTCGAATGCTCTTTTTGAAGTTACTAAATTCCTTATTATAGTTATAGTCAACTTGCTAAAAGCCTATTGGTCAAAATCTTTGAGCAATAGGAATAAAGACCTTCATTCTTTTTCTTCATCCATTCATAATTTACTTTCATTCTTCCAAATAAACTTTTTAGTAGTTTGAATCTTCATCTTTGAGCTCCAATCTTCTTTTAAAATTTTATATTAAATATCAAAATCTTATATAATTTAAATACTATAATAAAAATAGATAAACCTTAAAATAAATTTTTTTACATCAATTCTCTTTAAATTAATCTACTAAATATTTTAATACACATCAAATCTTATAAAATAATTATATATTTTAATTAATTTTTACATATTATAAACAATTAAAGTACAATAACATGTTGACTTTGCAAGACATATCTTAACTTACAAAGAAAGTTTTCTATATGTATGCCACATAGTTAGCTTGTGCCACAAGCTACCAACATGTGTGATATGTATTTAATTTATTGATCAAGTTTCTAACCTATCAATCAACTGTAAACATGTGTTGAGTCAAAATTGTATCTATGAAGCTTCTAAGAAGCTTATCTAGAAGATATTATGAAATTAATCTATTTTTTTCTACTTCTACTTAATCATATAAGTAATTATTGAATTTAATATGTATATCTATGACATATACCTATTAATAAGAATTTGATTGTATTAAATTTATGAGTTTATATTTTATTAATAATTTTTTAATTATATTCTTAAAAAAATTTAGACTATAAGAAATTTAATCTATTTAAAGATTATAATTTTTTAACTATAATAAATCTAAGATAATTAAATTATATGTAGATATAATAATATTAAATATTATAAAGCTATAATGATCATTAGCTATTATTTTTATAAAAAATAGTCTGTGAATAATATCTCCAAAAGATAAAAAAATAACTATGTATAACTTCCATATGTATTGATTAAGTTTTCCTGACTAAGAATATATTATATCTTTTAATAAACTCTTTATGTAAAAAATAATTTGAGGTGCCTAAATCTAACAAGGTAAAGACTTTGTAATATTTAAGTCCTAGACTAACATCTATTATAAAACAAAGAAAGGATTTTGAGGAGAGAATAGGACCTTTATTAGATATTGTATAAGATTCCAACTATACATACTCTATTGTAGGTAGACAAACTTATTTTTCAACATATTGTAATCTTTTACAACCACTCTTCATTTTATGCTTGTGTTGCTTTTTTGGACAATATTGAGCAATATACTTAGATTCTCTATAATATCAGTATTATCTCTCCTAATGTGAACAATTCGTTTTTCATTTAATAAGAAGTTTAAAACATATTATGTCAATTTACATATCTTTTTCTTTCAAATGTATGTTTTGAAAAGACATTGGTGTTGCCATTTAATTATAAAAATATTGAAGCTTTCTTATGCAACTTTCAAATTAAAATTCAAAAAGTCAATTATTACACTTTACAACAAAATCAATTGCATGACTCAATGTTTGAAGATCAGATAAATTGAACATCAATTTGTTTATTTCATATTGCAATCTACAAAAAAAATGACTAATAAATATAATATTATTTGACTTGATATCAATTGCAAGTTATCAAAATAATGAAGCATACAATGTGACTAATCAATTGCCTTGTTATAAAATACAAATCTTATTGGTTGCAACAAAAATTGCATCATATTTTCTATATGTAAATTGAAACTCTATCAAAAAAGCCTCAAAATTATCCAAAATTGGATCATGTTATTCAAAAAATATAAAAATCATAATAATCCAAAATTTGAAAGTAGTATTTTAATTAACATGACTTATGATTTTAAAATTTGATAGCTTTAAGATTGAAGTCCAATTACAAGTTATATTTGATTAATGAATCTTTAAAACTTTGATCTTGTGCCATCAATCTTCTTAGGCAAGAAAACTCTTGGTTCTCTAATACTTGAACAATATATGATCATAGGAGAAATAATATGATTTAGTATAGATATTAAATAATTTTCTATAAATATATGTTAAAGCAACTCTAATAATCTCTATATCTTAATTTCTTAGCAATCTTGTTGCTCCTTATGGTAATGAATTGAGTTGATACATTTCAAGCATTACCTCCTTTATTTGTTCTTTCATTTGTGCTATTAGACTCCTCATTTTAACAAGCTCTACTATGATAATACAATAGAAAAGAAGATGTCTAATATTAATCTAAACAAGTAGAAGAGAGGACTAGAGGGAGAAAAAAATGTTAAAAATAATATCAGTTTAGAAGTGGATAATCTATAATTTCTAATATGTTTATGTCTTATTAAGACAAAAGGATAATCCTTTCTTAATGAAGAAAAAACAAAACTTTGATATTGTAAGTGGATTTTCGTCAATTTGTGAAGAGCAAGAACTTGATGAATGTAAATAAACAAGAGAGACATTTTTCAAAGAAAGATGAAAAAAATAAAAAAATATATTCAAGAAAATATTATCTGGATAATTATTAGAATAGAGAGAATATTACCTAGGTAATTATCTAAAAAAATCACAAACGGATACGAGAGAAGAACAAATGTGTTAAAATGAGAAAACACAGAGACCCAGCAACACGGTCCTAGGCACTTGTTCCAATACAAAAGCTGAAGACGAAGACGACGACGTAATCTGGGGACTTCGGGGAGGTCAGACAGCTCATATAGCGGCGCAGTGCCGTTTCGCGCTGGAGATTCGCTTTGCAGCTCGTCGGGCGACCGGCATAGGGCTGTTGTTTGAGATAAATATCATCCCAATGGATGGATGAAGTAGTCGTTAGGACAACAACGGCTCTGTAGTGCTTTCCCTCTTCGTTTCCGTGGCCTCCGCGATTCACAAATTTGCAAAACCTTGTTTGTCGTCCATTGATTTGGTGTTTCAGTATTGATGCGACCAACTGTCATTTGTCAGGTAGTTTTTAGGGACTTGGGTACCACCTAGAAAAATGCTCCTAGAGATTTATGGGTGGCCCTTGCTGTCTTTCGCACCTTGAGCTTTGGCGTTTTTAGAAATGGATTTGTCCCTGTGAAGTTGTTTGCAGTAGTTAGTTGTTCTGTGGCGGAAATTGGGTTCCTCTCTGAAGCTCTGGTGATAATTTCACACGACTTGGCTTCAATGGCGACGAGAAACGGTGATTGTGAATCTGTGCTACAGGAACCCACGACAGAGCTGAGCGCTCCGTGCTATTCTCAGGTATCTTCAGTTCGTCTCGCAGCCTTGTGTGAGGAGTTTGCAGTAACACATCCCCAATTTGGCGTAGCAGCATCGCGAGGTGCTGGTACTTTGTTTTCGGTTCACGGTTTTTTTATTTTTTTACTTTTCATTCTTCTTGGGATTACGTCTTTCAGGTTTTGAAAATGAGGGCAAAGTTGTAAACCAAGTTCATCGTATAGTGATTTTTGCAAACTGTGTGATGATTTGGAGTGAATTTCTAGCGCTGCTTTACCAATTTTCCCTGCTGTCGCAAAAGCTTATTGACAGAAAAGTACCCACAATTATACCAAGAATGATGATCATACATGGAAATCGCTACCATTGGAGTCATGCCTGCCATCCATTGCGCAGGTACTTTCCATGTCCAATCCTTCACATATGATAGGATTCTTTGTAGCGTGTCTTCATTTGCAGGCTGGGTGAAGTCGTACTTGGCATGCGCCATTTGAATCACGCATGCATATTTTGTCACACAGAGAAGCATTTCGAGATGTTCCTTAGACGCATCAGTCGGGGGCGAAGGTCTATCACATTCGGAGAAGCAGATTACCTGGCATAGTCAGAGAGAGATGCTTGAAAAAGAACTATACGATGTGAGTCTATTCCTTTGTTTAAGCTTCCTTGATGGCATACTGTTTTGGTGGTTGAATTCTAAGGCGACGAGTAGAACGTGGAATGGGTCATATTTTCCATTTCCTGGCCCTTATTCTACAAGTGAGATTGACAAGGTTTCAGTGCCCTTGCCCAACGAGAGAAACAAATAAACCAAGAGGGGAAACTTTGTTCGAATCCTTGCGACCCAGAAGCAGATATTTCTTGAGCTACCAAAGAGTTTCGCACGCATCGCTGTGATGGTGTACTCTTAATCAAAGACTATTCACTGCTCTAAACTGCCTGTGTCATGAGTTCTTGTCTTCTTGCAGTGTGCAAGAGCTCACAAAAGGAGCCTCGTCGAAAGTGCCTATGAGGTGTCGAAGCTGCATGTGTCTTTCGGCTTAGTGAAACGACAGGAATCGCTCGCGAAAGAAAAATTGGGTGAGGATGAGATCTTAGTTAAGTCTCTCAATTGTAGACATCATGGAGTACTTGCACTACTGCGTATTTGATGTGATTGGGTCATTGAAATGTCGCTGTAGTACAAGGATCGGGTTGCCTGTTGATGTAATGGAATTTGTCTCCGCGTGATGTATCCTCGTTGATGGGCATGGTCACTTTACTTCTCTTGATTTCCCTGAATTTCATCTAATTTTAACTATTATTATTTGTTATGCAGAGGATGCCATGGTCGTTGTGGGTAAACTTCAAATGAAGGTGGATAGACTAAGTAGCCAGCTCAGGCACTCTGACAACGAGAACAGGAAATTGAATGCAGAACTATCTACCCTGAGATCTGATCTGGACCAACAAACTGCTGATAACGCCATGCTCCGTAGGGCCCTCGAAGCATCTAAGAAGAGCATCAGCAGCAACTTCATTGAGGGTATAAGTGATGTGGAAAGATTGACTAAAGAAGCAGCACCAATTATCGCCCAACACGAGATGCAAACGAAGCAGTTACGAAAGATAGAGAAGAACATGTCAACTGGCGAAGGGTTGGTAACGGATCAGACAGTTCTAGAGAGATGGGCTCTGGAGAACGCTCTTCACCTCGCAACAGGTCAGTTGCAAGACTTAAAACGGAGGTTGATAGACATGGATAGGCTTGAAGCGGACTTGTCTACGACCAAGCTACAGCTACAGAAAATAACGGATGAGAGGGATGAGCTTTTATTACGATTCGAAGTAGCCACCAAAGAGATGCAAACTTCCCAGAAGAGGGTGCTAGGCAATGAAGGGTGTGAAGCAGAGCATGTTCAACTTGCTCAAATGATGGACCAGCTGAATGCGGAGAAAATCACGTTGGTACAACAGCTTGACCTGTTAAGGGGAGAGCTGGGAAGGCAAAACGAAATATCTAAGAACTCACAAAATGAAGCTAGCAAGGTCATCACACTTCCTTCAAGTGTTTTTGCATTACTCTCTGCATGGAGCTTACGAAACTGGATTTATGGCTTCCGCAGGCTTGAAGTTGTTTAGATTATGATGTGCTTCTCGTGCCTCAATCAGCCGAGTGTCCCAAGGTTGCTCCTGCTGAACTTTTGTATTTGACGCACCATTCTATCTCACAGTTTGTGAATTTGCAGGCAGTGGAGGCCAGACGAGAATGTGCGAAGGCCCTCAAACTCGTGGAAGACAAGGAGGAGGAGATCGAGTATTACATAAAACAACTTGAGGTGCTGCGGGAGAAAAATGGCATGCTACGTACTCAGCTAGATATGGAACAACAATGCAAAGAGGCAGAGGTGAGCGATAACACTTCTCTTTCCTTGGCTGAGAGACGAGAAACGTCGGAGATCCGTTGAAAGGAAATTAGCCTGGCACGTGCAGTATTCGTTGTGATACGCACTTAACTTTGTGTCTCCAACCTTCCACATATTCTACCCTGTGTCAGGTGGCTTCGCTGCTAGGAGTTCACCATCAGAGTCCGAATCAGCTCAGCAACAATTTGAATAATTCCAGTAAGCAGGTGCGTAGGGACGGTGTTCTTCGTCCTTAAAGGACATCTGTTAATGTATTCATTGCATGTAATTAGTACCTTGGAATGATCTATTCCTAACAAATTGCAATTCAATATGAGCTGTAGACATGGCATCAATCCCCTCCACTCCAAACAAGTTAAGATTCCCTCCCCCCCCCCCCCCCCCCCCCTCCTCCGGTTAGTGCATTCGAATGACTTGGGAATTGTACTGATGCAGGGATCAGCGGCAATCAAAACTGCAGTCAAATCGAACATGCCGTCTATTGAAGAATTCAGACACGAGGTATCCATCATCAAAGCAGCTAATCTTAATAAATGCAGAGATTAGAAATAGATCATCCTTTAGAAAGCTGCTGTCTCTCGTTGCAACTCTGTAGCTGCACAGTTTTGTGACAGCTCATATTTCTGGTGCTCTCCACGAGATGTTAACAGTCATGTTTTACATTTAAGCCTTGGGCTATTACCTTTTCAGACAACCTTCCCATGGCTTGGATACCTGACTCAACATTATGCTGCACAGCCTCAGCAAGATTCAACCAGTAATGGGAAAGAGAAGCCAGCTATCGAAGCTCAAGAGGAGATGCCAATTCATGAGCCTGATCGAGTATCGCAACACTCGAAGCTGCCTAAGAAAGGGAGCTCTAGATTGAGTCGTCGACTCGACTCGCAACAATCTATGGTGAGCGTTGCAGTCCATTTAACGTCACCTTTCAAATTTGAGAGAGACTCGTTACTGATGATCTTAGTTTACTGTATGTGCCGTAGATAATGCATGAACTTTTTGATGTTGCTATGAGTTTCATCATGTTCCCAAGCGTTGTGGCCAAGAATTTAGTGTCGAGTACGAAGAAGGGATGTGTTGTCCAGCTCGATATGTTAATTTTTTTCTCGGACATAAGGACAAAAGCAGCGATGTAGAATTCAGATTAGGCGTTATTTTTCGTGATGTTCTCTCTTCTCACCAGAAGTTACCCTTTGTGCCTGCCAACGTATTCATTATTCCAAATCCCTTATGATTTCACTCAACCCTATTCTTTGGTGAAATACACAGGACTCTGACTCTGTTTTGTCTACTACCAACAAACGTGTCCCCAATTTGTTGGAGGAGGACCACGATGGTTCTAACGACGACGTTGCTCAATCTGAGAAAAGAACCAGCGCGAGACTGGTACGTCCAACTACTCACATCTGGCGTTTTGATCATACTTATCCATGCATATGTCCCGACTCGCATCCTTGCCTCAGATTTCCGTGTTATGTTTTTACAATCTGGAGCTCACAGCTGCCGGACTCGGCATAAGCATCAGTGTTCTTGTTTGAATTGATCTAAAGCCTACCTCATTCTTTTCATGTTTCTGTCCTATGTTCACTTCCCAGTTATTTCCTGAGTACGACCTGTCCTTACACCATTTAGTTACTGATATCAGCTGGCACACTAATTGCAGAAGAGACCTCCGGTTCTCCTGCCTAATGGGACTGAGCCCAACCAAAAGATGCATTCCTTGAACGCCAGGAAGAGTTTGATCAGCGAACCTGATGCCCAAGTCCTCTTGCGTAAAGGTGACCGTGACGATAGAACCAAGAGTCTCCTGCTTGCGGCCGGCATGACAAATCCGAATCTAACACCACAGAGACCCAGTACTGCAGCCAAGAGTGGTTCCAGGTTACCAAGGTGACACACGCAAATTAGAACCTTGGTACCTTAGAACAGTAATGTCAGTGACTCAATGACATGCTGTGAAATTCACTCTAGTAACGCTCTGCGTTTCACATTCATGAAGATGACAGCGCACCTCATCTGTTGGCTTTAGTACTCGCTTGTTCTTTTGCAACCATCTGAATCTGAAAATCCCTTTCAAGAGGTACGACTCAAATTGTGACATACAGCTCATGCTACTTCTAATCTTGTGAGTGGCAGTTAAATGCCTGGTAAAACTATTGCATGTTTTGTAGTCACTCGTAGATGAAAGCTTGAACACCTCAATATGAACTGCTGCGAAGTTGAAGCAGACCGTGAATGGAAGACACGCTTAGTGGTAACCGGACACTTAAGGAACTGGTGACGATGCTGGGGACCGCCCATGCTGCAATTACCCCGACGTTGGTTTCCAAGCCCACAAGCAAAAAATGTGATAAATATCGGCATGGATGTGTTTCGATGAATGAAATGATGTTTTTATCGTTTCCAAACCTAGGATATTTGTTATCAAAATGCATTATCGATAACACCATGCACAAATTCATGGCAGACTCAATATAGTAAGCGTGTCATTCGTCGCTGGCACTCTTATTTTAACAAGCTGCCATATTTTTTATTAGCGCACGTAGTCGGCAGGGGACATTAGTGGGAGGTTTCGTCCTAAATGCGGAACGCAGCAATTGTAATGAACTGTGAAGTATCATTTTTCCATCAAAGAACATTCTAGAGCGTGTAAGAAAATTTCGGTGGCAGCCGTGTCTGGTTCTGTGGATTGGTCGTTTGTAACCTAGCCATGCAGATGTGTTCCATGTCAATGGCAGTTGTCGTTCATTGTTGTAACACAGGTGTTTACCTGGATCCTAGGTCGAGTTCTCTATTTTGTAATTCGGGGGTGGGTGCGAGAATACCTCGGCGACTTGAGAGTGTTATGTAAGTGAAGCTTTGATGGTCATCTGTCACTTCATTGTTGTTTCTGATTTTACTTTAGGTTATGTACAGAATGAGATTAACGTCTTGAAGGATAGTAGCGGTAAGGGCCAATCTCCATTTTCCCATTCTTAAAAATTACGAATTGTTGCAGAAACATTCTGAGGTACGGTTGCGTTTTGACGGAATTCCTACGTGAGGACGATGTTCACTTGCTAGCGAGAAACGACCCATCCACTGACCTTGCCATTTCTTCAACCTCCGATCTAGAGGTACTTAAGCGGAGTTGGAGTATCTGAAATTTTCTCGAGAGATGAGTGGAATCGGAGACTCCATCCATGAGAATCTTGTGAGTAAGCAATTGCTTGCTGGCGCCATAGCTGGTGGGCTTGCCGATGGCATGATGTATCCCATGATGACTGTAAAATCCCGACTCCAGGTACAAGCCATCGCCATCCTGATTTCTGTGTTTTTTCATACACCTAGCCTGTAGGATTTCAGAGTGGATACTCGTGGTCGACGACAGTCATAATTTGGCAATGGGTTTTAGGTGCAAGGAGGAAGCAGGGGCGCAACGGCGGAATTGTACATGTACAGAGGACCTGTACAAGCAATCCAGTCTATCGTCGCCAAGGAAGGATGGAGAACCTTTTACAAGGGCTATGGCACAGTTGCGCAAGTAGCCCCTGCACAGGCCTTGTATATGGCGACTTACCAGGCAATCAAAAGGTATCTTCCGGGTATGTATGTATCTTGAAATGTTCTATCTCTGTATGTGAAGTTTCAATGTCGACATTCATGGATTTTTTCTCGAACCCAGGTCTACAATCAGCTCTGTTTGATGACTGGGTACTGTTAATGTGCCTGTTAGAAATTTAATTCAAGTGTGTTTAAATTTTAAAACTGGGTGATTATTGTACGAATCTTTAACGGTAGCAGGAGCTAAACTTGAGGCTCCTTGACTTATACAGGAGGACATGACGACCCACTGATCCAGTTAGGAGGCGGAATTCTGGCCTCTTTGTTACAGTCAACAGTGACGGTACCCGTGGAGGTCATCCGACAAAGACAGATGGTTCAAACCGTTGGTGCAGGGTCCTACAAGGTAGAGTTTTCGGCCCCAAGCCCGTAATTCCTCACACATATCGTGAGTAGATTTTGGAGACTTTGGAGTGAAGTTTAGGAAAGCAATCTATCATTTTTCACTTTAGTAAATTCTTAATTTCATCAACCAGAGTGGTGGATAGAAATGATATTGCACTCTGCTTAGGTGGAGGATCGAATCGCAGAACTTCAAGTGGGATTAACTTGATTTATGAATGATATCTTTAAATAGTGGTTAAGCAGACTCAATGTTATGTTTCAGGGTTCGCTCCACACAGCCAAAACCATATTTCAGCATGAAGGAATTAGTGCATTCTACAGAGGTTTTCTCTTGAATCAGATGGTTTGGGTTCCGTTCAACGCCGTTTACTTGCCACTTTGGGAAACCAGCAAGCGCATGTGCTCACGGCTCTCAGGAGTCGATGCTGTAGAGAAGCTCGACGTTCAATATGAACTTGGCAGTGCGTTCTTTTGCTCTGCTTTTGCTGCTGCTCTGACAAATCCCATGGTGAGTTCATCCCCCCCACCTCATTCTCTATTTACACTGTGATCTCACTGATCAACACATACGACCATTTATTCACAAGCTCAAGACCATGAATGCAGTTCCAAGATCTGCTAAAACACTTACGTACATGCTCATGTGAAGTTGGGTATGAACACTATTGCTGAACATTTCTGCAGGATGTGATAAAGACAAGATTGCAAGTACAGGGAAAGAGCAACGTACATTGCAGTACTGAGTATTCTGGAGGCTGGGATGCTGCCAAAACCATTTACAAGCAGGAAGGATTGGCCGGGCTCACTCGAGGCATGACAACGCGCATGCTGTGGGTTGCACCGTCGGCCATGATCATGTTCACAACGTATGACCAGCTCATGAAGTGGCTCGTCCATTATGAGTGATGTTCTGATACTTCTCATCACTCATAATGAGTAGAGCCGCTTCACATACTATCAGTTTCTAACAACAAAGCGTCTGGCAACTACTGATCTGAGTGAAGTATTTCATTGGATTTTTTTTTACTCTGATGTGTATACAAACACAGAACACTACAATAGAGCTAGTCAGCTTAGAGCTTCTGCTGAGGGTCACCCGACATCATTCTCATCAGGGTGAGCATCATATGTGTCTTCAACCACAATTTTCATGGTTCTAACTTACTTTGCTCTAGCCACAGATTTCTAGTCTGCAGTATATGGAAACATCAATCTGGGTCAGAATGCGAGTGAATTGAGTTTCCAAATCACATTTTTTTTCTAATCGCCTTTTTTAATCAGCAGGTTTTTAGATTGCACATAGCAATGTGTTAGAAGCTACATTCTTATCATGTGTTAAATGTGTTTCAAAACTGTACTTACAATGAAGCTTATGTAAATGTTGCTTTAAATAGTTATGAGGACAAATATTCATAAAAGGTTAAATCAGTTTGTGATGCCTATATGCATTGCATTCGGGATTCTTTTATTTCTTTTAATTGAATTAAATCACAACAAAGTAAATCTAAGTTCTCTTTTTTTTAGAAAAAATATTATAAGTTTTTAATTCCATTTGAAAGTATGTGGATGTATGTATGTATGAACCATGTTTGCTTTTCTATGGCTTTTTTACATCTATTTCAACTTATTTATCTATTAATTTAGTTAAGATGTATTTTTGTGTAGGATGTGAAGCTAAATAATTTATTAATCATGTATACTAAATTTCTTTTATCAATCCCTAAATTAGGATTTGAATTCATTTTTTTTGTAATAAAAAATTATTTCCAAAATTATTCAAAATGAAGGAAGAAGATTGGTTATTTTGTAGCATAATATTTTGTAAGATATTATATGTCATGTAATTTTTTTTCTTGTATATGCACTTGCCAATTCATTCTATATATGTTTAATAGAGATTTAAGTAACCAAAGGAGTAGAACTTTTTTTATTAGTAATAATGTTGTAACGTCAAATATAGCCAAAGATATCTAGTAGTATATCACACCAATTTCTTTAATTTTTAATATTTTATGTCATCTTCTAAAAAAATATTATTAAGCTTTTAAATTTGCATCATAAATATAAATATCTTAAATGAAGGATATTTTTACTACTTTACAATCTACATAAAATTTTAATTCGGTTAGTTAAATTTCTTAATGATATCATGTACTTTTGATGCTTCTATTGATTTGAAAAAAATATATAAAAAATCACAAAATTATATATATATATATATATATATATATATATATATATATACAACATATCACAAACATACATAAGTATTTTAATAAATATCTACATAATTAGGTAGGAATAGATAAAAGTAGATAAAAGTAAGTTAATTTCATAAGTCCTTCTAGAAGAGCTTCCTAGAAGCTTCATAGATGTTGGTATGACTTTACATATGTTTGTAGTTGATTGGTAGGTTAGAAAGTTAATCACATGTTTATAGCTTGTGGAATAAGCTAATTATGTGGCGCATATATAGAAAACTTGCCTTGCAAGTTAAGATATGTATCTTGCAAAATCAATACAATTTAAAGGTCCTATAGGACATTGCCACATAGCTCCTAGTTAAGAGTATATATAGAGGTAAGAGTAAAGCCTTCTTCACTTTTGTCAACCACTTTCTAGTCCTTAGTTTTATTCAAGACTTTCTAGTCTTCTCATTTTTGGTAAAAACCATTCTAATTTAATATTGTATCATCTTTAAGTGACTTTCTAGTTCTCTTTAGTGACACAAGAGTGTAATGAGGATTTTCTTTCTTTGAGATTCATATCCTTGACAATTTGACAAAAGTGCTAATCTACTATTTATATCTTGTTTTAGAAGTGAGTGAATTATCTTACTTCTATTGTTGTATTTTGAAGATTGCGGACTATCCACCTTTGAATAAAAAATCTTATTTTCTAACACTGATCTTTTTTTTAAAGAGAGTAGATTTCCTTTTTTGTAAAAATTTTTATTACAAGTTGCGGATTACCCTCCTCTAATTTAACTTTTTGAATTTGTTTGAGTTATCTATAAAAGAAAAGATTATGCAGGATACTCTCTACAGAAGTGAGAATATATTTGTAACTATTGCAGATTTTTATGAACTTATCAATATTCTAAGAGTATAAATCTCATGTATTTCTAACATAAATCATAGAAGTACTATGCCTATGCCAATAGAAGAAGTTCAAAGTTTGCAGCAAGAAATTGTGTAGTTGAAAGAAGCAAGTAGTTCAACTTCACAACCAATATTGGAAAGAATTTTGAGGATTTTTAAAATCTTTGAAATAATTTATTGGTCAAGCCATTACATGTGACAATCAATTATTTGGAAGATGTCAAGAACAAAGATTTGATTGGAGAAAAACAAATCAAATAATGATAATAGCTCCTAAGTTTTTAGAAGCTTATTTATTAAGGCTTGAACCAATGCAAATTGATATGATGCATTCTGGAATCCTTTATAGAATAGGAAAAGAATTGACGACATCAAAAGAGCTTATGCTTATATTATAGAGAAGCTAAATATACTGCTCAAGATTGTCCAAAGAAACCATGCAATTACTAAATGAAAAGCATGGTCGCAAAAGAAGAGGAGGTATCAAAAAACAAGATTTTCCAACTACAATAGGAACAATTGTTGTATGGCATAATTTGCAATCTAGAAATACATTGGATATTTAGCTATTGAGAATTTAGCTTTGGCATATATATGATGTCTTAGTTCCCAAAAATCCCTATATTTTGCACAAAAGCTCAAATTATAACAAAACCCTTCAAAAGATATTTTTACCTTGAACTTTGAAAATTCATATCTCTTAATTCAACCATTTAATTTTTTTCAAATTTCTATATAACATAAATTCTATTCTTAAGCTTTACCACAAAAAAATAAACCATAAAGCTAGTGCTGATCTTTTGGCATCTTAGAAATTCTAGAAAGTGCTCTAAACTCTAATCTACAAACACCTAAAAACTATTTTCTTCATATCTCAAAAATCCAAAATCTAAATGCCACAAAATTTATGCATATAGTTTATTAATATAATTATACACAATTTAGAAAATTTTGACCTAAAAACTTATCAAATTTCTCAAGATATAGCTCAAAACACAACCACTAGTAAATCAGGTCACTTACTACCCTTAGATTTGAAGCACTGACTTCAACTTCTAATATCTTCTTTATTCCAACTTGAAATCCATCAAAAATTATGCCAAAAATATAGCCAAAAATGTGTTATTTCCAACGTTGGTCGTCGATCCTTTATTGCTTTATGTACGCATGCATTATAAGCAAAAGAGTGATAGTAGATAAAAAAATCAACACCTTAACTTTGAGCGTCCATATCTCTTTCATATTAACTCCAAATCACACAAAATTTTCACCAAAACCGTAGCCAAAAACCTAAAATTATTGATTCTAGTCTTCAAAGCTCGAATGACCTCGAAAGAATAATCCTAATGCCTAATAAGGCCTCAGACAACGTCCTTGTAGCCCATTGTGTATGTTTTTTAGCCAATAGAAATGGAAATTTTCTTCGTCCATCTCCATTCATCCATATGGAGGGTCTAACTTCTCTTTTTGCTACCAAAATCCTTCTCCAATCCTTATTTTTACAAGTTTTACATAATATATGCTTTAAACATCAATTAAAAGAAACAAAATAAGACTTCAAGGATCACCAATGTCTAACAAAGGTGACTCTAAACATATAAAAGTTACTCCCAATAAAACCAATTTCAAAAGTGACTATCAAAAGAAAATAAAGTTATATAAATTCTTATAGAAGTCCTTCTAAACAACCTCTTTTTGGAGTAGTAATCTATCTACATTCTATAACCAACAAAAATCCATTAACATGGCTATCACTATATTGTCTATTATATTGTATATTAAATATATAAACATATTATTTTTACGTGGAAGCCAAACCACAATACAACACCATGTGGCTAGAATCTTACATAATTCCTAGTAAAGGTCCTATTTTCTTCACAAATCCCTCACCTTGTTTTACAATAGAAGTTTATTTATGAAAAAAAAATAAAACAAAATAAAACAAAACAAAACAAAATAAAACACAAAGTCTTTCCTTTAATAAATTCAGAAGCTTGAGTCTCTTTTATAGACGAAGATTTTGTTAAAAAACAAGAGATATCATTAGTCAAAAAAACTAAACCTATACATGTAGAAATCATAGATGGTCGTTGGCTATCTTTTGGAGATATTATGCATGAGATTGTTTTTTAAGATGTAGTAATTAAAGATTATAAAAGCATTATAATATTTAATGTAATAAGATCTTTGTTTAATTTGGTTATTTTAAGATTATCTTAATTAAAAAATAATAATAATTCTCAAATAGATTGGATTTCTTGTTACCTTAATTTTTTATGATAGTTTAATCCAAAATCCCATTAGTCAAGTAAAAATATATAAGTCTAGTACATCCAAATTCTTATTGATAGGTGCAAAAGCTTTTATGCATGTTGTAAAAGAAGGATTATCTTTTACTTTATATGCCACGCCCATTTTTAAGGGTGAGAAGACATCAACTAGTATTCCTAGCCAATATTAAGATTTTTAGGATGTTTTTGAAAAGAAAAGCATAGATATTCTTCTAGAGCATCATCCTTATGATTGTTCTATTGATCTTCATAAAAGAGCTCAACCACTATTTGGACCAATCTATAGTCTATTACAAAACGAGTTCATTGCACTCAAAGAGTACATTGATGAAAACCTAACTGAGAATTTTATATGTCATTCTAAATCTCCAACTGCAGCTCCTATCTTCTTTGAGAAGAAAAAAGACAAATCTTTATAAATGTAAGTGGACTATGAAGGATTCAATAAGATCACCATAAAAAATAGATATCCTCTACTTTTGATTTTAAAACTTTTTGATAAATTGAAACAAGCAAAGATCTATACAAAAATAGATCTACGAGGAGCATATAACTTAGTACACATTAAAAAAAAAAAAAAAAAAAAAAAAAGATTAATGGAAAATTACGTTTCAAATCACATATGGGCATTTTGAATATAATGTCATGCCTTTTGGACTCACAAATGCACCAATTGCTTTTCAACAACTAATAAATAATATCTTTTGTGAGTTTCTTAGTGATTTTTTTGTTTGTTATTTGGATGATATTTTAATCTATTTTAAGAACTCATAAGAGCATAAAGTCCATGTTTGTCATGTGTTATAAAAATTTAGAGATGTAAAATTATATGCAAAGTTTAAAAAGTTTATATTCCACATTACTCAAGTTGATTTTTTAGGATACATCATTTCAAATGAAGGACTAAAAATGGATCTAAAGAAGGTTCAAACTATCATGCTCTGAAAGATTTCAAAAATAATAAGGGACGAATAATGTTTTTTGAGCTTTGCCAATTACTATTGAATCTGCATGAAAAAAAATTCTCAAA